AATGATTATATGTGTAAATAAATTTTTTTATGGTTACAAACAAATAAAAAAATTGTAACTTATTGTTTTATTCATGAATTTTTTTTCAATATAAAAGGGCTCCCATTTCTGAAATTCGCCTTAGGCCCCGACGAACTCAGGGCCGACCCTGCACCGCTGTTCACTGATTTCGAATAAATCAAAGAGAGGGACTATTGTCATCATTATTCTTCAACAGGAGAGGGAAGGAGAGGGACCGTCTTCAACCACGATAGAGAGGGGTGTGCAAAATTAGGTATATGTGCACTTGAGTGTGATGATATTATGAATAAGGATAAATTTGATTTTAAATGAGATGTGTAAAAAAATCTTATTGAAATTTAAGGTTTAGAGTGGGTGTTCAAAGAAATAAGAGGTCTAAAAAATTAAGGTAGATACTAATAGCAACTCTTTTTTATTTTTTTTTAAATTTTTTTTCACTTCTATCTTTTCATATTTTTTGTTTATAATTTTACTTATAAAATATTATTTTTTATCTTTATTTCTAACCTCCAAAAACCTTAATTTTAACCTTAACTCATCCGCGCATCTACCTCTGCCCCTATTTTTGATCCCTCCCTTATCCATTATCATCTTCGACCACCCTCATCACTTAGCCTTTCTTTACGCTCGTTCACCCCTTTCTAGCTACTCTTGCCACCCTTTGCCCCTTCCTTTGTCAATCTCTCTCTCTCTCTCTCTTTGAGGACGCAAGAGGAGGGTCATCGGAGGTGGAGGGTGACTAAGAAAGGAAGCTACACGAGAGAGGCCATGCTACCAAAGAAAGAGGGAGGCAGGTGTGGAGATCAAAGAAGAATGTGTATGATTGGGATTATGATGGGTATTTAAAGGAAGAGATCAATTTTGATGAGTGCGAGTCTAAAAAAGTGAAGGATCTAAAGTAGTATTATGATGGAACAAATAGCAGCACTCAAGGCTTTAACCTGATTTGATTTGTCATACCATTGTCCCTAATCAAAAACATAAAAATAAAAATAAAAATAAAAATAAAAAATGTAAACGAGAAAATTACATACAAGCCCATACAATTTATAAAAAATACAAGTTACGTTTGAGAAATTTCAAATACCCTTAGTATGGTTTTTAACAAAATCGTAGAGGTAGAATTTTTATTTATAGAAAATATTAACCAATATACACTGACTCAAAATCAAAGTCTACTTTTATAACCAGAAAAATTGATATAAATATTTAAAAATGATTGGTATAGATTTATTAATTTTTTCATAATTCTTATGTAATTAATTAATATTTTTCAAAAGATTGTACATATATTTATAATTATTACACCTACCTCATGCCCTAAACAAAATTTTCAGCTTCGAATCATGAGAACACAAATTGAGGCCTAATTATTACATTTGTTAACCCTAACCACAATCTTGCCTTGGAGGCCTACCCCTCGTGCATAGATCCAATGAATGTTCATTGTGTTTTAATGCCATCTTAATCCAACATATAGAAAATGTCATGTCAATGGGCTTCTAGGCCAGTGGCATCCCCCCACCTCTTATGCAAGGGAGGTCGAGGATTCGACGCATTAGAGACGAGATTTGGTGGCACTGACAGTGCTCATTTAGCTTATATTTGTACAACCTACCACCCATTAGCTGCTGAGTGGACTATGTTAAAATCTACCATCACCTACTCCACCTATTATACCTACTACTACCTACTACACACTTACCACTACCACCTACTCCACCTACTCCACTACATCTCCTATATAAGGAACCCCTCACCATTTGTAATATATAACATAAATCAACCAATAATACATCAATTCTAACATGATATCAGAGCAGGTTTAGAACCTAGTATTTTTCACTTCACCGGCGGGCGACAACCTCACCTTAGCCATCCGCCGGACCTCAACCTATTCCGTTTATTTTCTACACATACCTTCCCATCAGTGGTGCTTTGCCGTGAGCCAGCGTAGTTTCTAACAAATTCCATCTTAGTCACCTGTGTGAACTTCTCCAAGGGACCGGAGACGATATCCCTGAAAAAGTCGACGGAGTCCGTCAGCTCCTCTACAGTCTTGCCCTTCCAAACAACAACCTCCAGAACTGGACCCGAACCACCTTCCTACACTTGGGTGGTCAATGCTAATAGTTCTTGTCATCTGTTGAAAAAGCCCCCACTACTCTCTCTCTCTATTCAGTTCTTGGCAGCACTTGTTTACCATCTTCCAACTTCAACTGTAGGGCTTCACCGAAGTTATCAGAAAGTTGAATAATCGAGCTGCCGGACCTCTCATCTTCCAACTATTTCTGCATGACTTCCATCACAGTGAAGGCGAAGATTCAAGATAAGGAGGGCATCCCACCGGACCAGCAAAGGCTCATCTTTGCCGGAAAGCAACTCGAGGACGGCCGTACCCTCGCCGATTACAACATCCAGAAGGAGTCGACCCTCCACTTGGTGCTCCGTCTGAGGGGTGGTATGCAGATCTTCGTCAAGACCTTGACTGGTAAAACCATCTAAACCAAGTCTTTGTCGCATAAACCACTCGATTCTCTTCCTCTCAAACAAACACCAAAGAATCGAATCAGAAGTGGAATACATACTGGGACTGGAGTTCCCTCTTATTTAGAGAGAGAGAGCGTGAGGAATCTCAAACCAAAAAAAAGCAAAATATTATAATATATATACTGCGTGTGTACTTGAATGGGATCAAAAAGTGGTGCTTTCTTTGCTTTGCTATACTCTCTGTAGAAAACCAGTTCTGGGTTTTCTCTGCTTTTGAGGTCTCTCTCGCCGCCTTTGGGGGTTTCGGCACTGCCTTTTTCTCTGCAGCAAAATCTGGGTTTTGAAGCCGCATTTAAGTCGCCTAGTGGTTGTTCGACAGATTATTGTCTAGCTGGTCCTCTTTCAATTATTTCTGGCTACCAATTATCTCTCTCTCTCTCTCTCACTTTGCACCCACTCTCCCAGTACCACCACTATGGCCACTTTCCTTGTCCCTCCTTTATTTTCACCATCATTTCTTTCAAACTTTTCATCACCTTTATTTTGTTCTCTTCCTGACCCATCTTTTTATATCCACCACATGGACAACCGACTCCAAATAATATATATTATCCCAACTTTCATCATTAACCAAGCCAGACAGTCAGATCTCTGCCTATCCAAACATGGAGCCCTCACTATTCACATCATGACAGAGAGTGCATTAGAGGCATGCATCACCATCAACTTTCATCATTCAAATTAATTAATACACAATTTTTATTTATATCAGGGATCAACCCTGCTCACATTTTCCACCGCCCAACTTTTTCTTGAACCTCAATTTTTTATCTTTTCGTTTTAAAAAAAAAAAAAAAAAAATTCATTCCATCTAATTTTTCTGCTCAGTCTTGTACCTTCAAGCCATTCGGATTTGCACAATACACTCATTTTATTTCTATCGGGACTTCGCCTTGATCACAATTTTACAACAAACAAAAAAAAAAAAAAAAAAAAAAAAACAAACAAACAAACAAACAAACCACACAACAAACAAAACACCCACATCCACCGGCGAGATTTTTCTTTTCCCTTCTCTACTCTACTGCAGGTTTCTTCTTTTTGCCTCCGTCCTGAGCGGCCCTTGACGGTGCAGCCTCTGTGTTTCCCACTCCACTGGGCACGATCACTACTCTCTGCTCCTCCACTGCAGCATATGGCGGACCTCCAAATCGGAACATAACGGTGGCCTTCCGCTTCAGCTCCTTATTTTCCGCCTTTAGCACACTTATCTCTGCTCGCGCATCCTTATACATGCGTTGGAGCAGAGCCAGTTGGGCGTTTAACTGCTGCACCTCATTCGTCCTACTCTGCAGCCGGTGCGACAAGTTTGTGACCGCCGTCATGGTTTCCACACATGACTTCAAAGTATACTGATTGGCCTCAATATCAGTTTGCACCGCCATTTTTTGCTCCACCGACCGCATCGGAAAGTTCAACGGAGCAAAACCGGAGGTGTTTGGTTGAGGTTCACTGGCCACCGCACCCGTTATCTCTCTTGTTGACTCGTTGAGGTCGGGAAAGAGAGTGAGCAAAGGGCGGGAAGAAGAAGCCATTTTCTGGGCAACAGAGTGTTACAGAGTATCTCTCTCAGAACACAAAGAATTTTTCAGAGGTTTTTTAGCAGGTTTTTGTCTCAGCCTCAGCCTCAGCCTCCGTCTTGGTTAAATAGCCGAGGCAAACACGCGCATCGCGCGCCACTTGACGCCAGACGACAAAACGGGCGTGCAAGCCAAGGTAGTCACGCGCCTCGCCATCATGTCCGGCACACCTTTTTATGGATTGGGCACTCCTTTTGATGGCACGCCTTTTGACAGATTGGGCACACCTTTTGAGGGTGCAACTTTTACAACGGTCCGACATGACCCTATAAACTGTCCCGACATTGATTCCGGTTAGCTCCTTCATGGGTCCGACAAGACTCTGTAAACTGTCCCGACATTGATTCCGGTTAGTTTCTACAAGGGTCCAGCAAGACTCCGTAAACTGTCACAACAACTGTCACAACATTGTCTGCTACAACGGTCCGACATGACCCCATAAACTGTCTTCTACATCGGTCCGCCACGAGCCAGTGTCTTCTACATCGGTCTGCCATAACCATACAGTCTTCTACAACGGTCTGACACGACCATACAGTGTCTCCTATCCATTTTTTATTTTTTTAGATTATTTTCTTATTTTGTTATTCTCTCCAAACTCAAGTTGGTTAGTTCCTATCCCCCTTGAGTTTGCGGGGCTGTTAAAATCTACCATCACCTACTCCACCTACCACCACCTACTACCACCTACTACACACCTACCACTACCACCTACTCCACCTACTCCACTACATCTCCTATATAAGGAACCCCTCACCATTTGTTATATATAACATAAATCAACCAATAATACATCAATTCTAACAGACTAGATATATAAACTGCATTTGGAATCCTCAAAAAAGAAAATGTCATGCTAGTCAACTAACATCAATCCAATATGGCACTCTAGTTTCAAATTTGCTAGAGAATTCAGATGGCATACCATTGCAGTTTAACATGGGGAACTGTAAATCAAACATCCCCTTTTAAAGTCTGAAAATTAGGGCGCCATTGAATAAAGTTACTACAATCAGAATGCTAGAAAAAAAGTATTTCTGATCAGAATAAATTCAAGATGGAATGCTACTAATCAAAGCCGAGTTCCACAATGCTGGTAGTATACAATACATGGTAGAGTCCAAGTTGTCAGTACCTTCATTGCTGGTCTAACAGTTTCACCAAGATGGAAGAAAGCATGAAAACTGGTGCAAAATCATTTCGGGTAGGAAATTACGTGCTGCATATCAGTAATCAGCTTATGAGTTTTCTCAACGTTGCTTCAGCTCGCTGCTCAAATTTTGGTAGGGCCCATTCATGCTGAATTATGTCAAGACCGTCTTTCTCAGCACCCAAACTCTGAAATGAATAACACAAAAGGTAAGTAAGGATCCATTCATGATTCAAAGTCTTGTAACGAACCAACCTATATCCCATTTAATTATCCAAAAGGTGACACAAAGCTGAGGTTAACAAAATACTATTGAACCATATTCTGTGTCTAGATAATAAATTGTACACAAAATAAACTACTCTCCCCACATTCCATAGAAAAATATCAATTGTTAATTTGCCTGCGCCCCATCAATTAGTCGATCAGGCTATGGCTACTCTCTCTGTTGCATTTCCACCCCAATCATCCAAGTGTTTTTCAGATGCCCAGAATCCATATAACTATTCTGCCTAGCCCATGCTAACCTAACAGATCTGGACAAAAAATCCATTCGTAGCAAGTTAACAACACAAGCTACTTTAGCTCCCATCCCGGACCCTTACCTCATGCAAATTTATCAACTGATAATATTTTCTTTTCTTTTCTTTTTTTTTTTTTTTTTAACAGCGAGCTTGTTTACATAATTAAAATTATGTTACTCTTCACATAGAGGATAGACGAGTAAAAATGATTACTTTTATTTTTTAATTTGAACTCAACATGACACCATTGCTGCCTGTTAAAACCAAATAGAGCATGAACCCATAGCTACCTACCTTATTATAAAGGATATGAAAGCCATCCTTGATCAACAAGGGCTCTTCTACAAATTTATTCTAGACCCCATCGATCCCTTCATTAAGAACTAAGATAAGAAAAGATATTTTTACATATCATATAGACTATGGTAAAATGATTTTTCTTGCTACTCTGGCCAGCTGTGCCAAGCACAACAGTGACATCATAACCACCTTTATGCTGAAGGATATGAAACTACCCTTAACCAACAGGGCCCTCATCCACATATCTATTCAAAACTACATCCATTAATTTGCAACAAAGCAAAGATACTGAAGCCTAGTAGAGCACATTGCACCACCAGAATCTGACACAAGACAAGCATCGTATGCTTCTCTTGATCCACAAGAGGCAGCTCGCATGCCTTTGAGATTCTTGATCAAAATTGCACAACAGGATATACGCATTAGCAAGCATTAAATGATACCTATAGTAGGAAGCAAAATTGAGTGAGCTCTATAAAGCTCACGCTTGTCCACGCTTATCGATGGTGGGTCTCAGCAGACATGACTAACTCATAGAATGACTTAAGGGTCTCAGTTTGGCAGCACACCACAAATCAGCCATACATAGCGGGCACCTATATCATGCAACCCTCATCGCATATATCAACAGATTGTTTAAAGTAGAACCCAAATGACCTACAAGTTCCTGTCCAAGCCAAATTGACCATATAAGCCTCCCTCTATTTCTCTTCCCAGAATGTATAACATGCCCACAGGCTAGGCAACTTCCACCACACCCACTCATGTGGCTCACCCTACAAATCCATGACCTTTGGAAACATCCCCTATTAGAGGATGTTCAAAGAAACTAGAATTTAGACAGATACAACAGCACATAATTGCGAGGTTTTTTTAAGATAGACTAAATGTAAAGTAAAGAAAGAAGTTTGGAAGGAAAAGTGAAAAATTAGAATGTTTGACACTTAGAATATAAGTTACTGCTTAAGCCTTTGAAATCAATTTTAAATAATAATAATAAAAAAAACCTTGGAGAAAAACAAACCTTGGAAGGATCGAAGCCAAATCCACTCATTTGCATCATACGCTGTGTATCATCCGTGGCTACATCAGAACATCATGTCAGTTTCTTTATAATATCCACAGAAATAGCAACTATCAATCACACACCCTTCTTCTGAGAAGATGATTGACATGCAAACATGAATTGTTCGCAATATATATTTAAAAAAAAAAAAAGAAGTCACAAGGATACTAACCATTTTCTTCCCCCAAAATGAGACTAAATAAACCCCTTAGTCCAAACATATTGAGAAAATACCTGATAAAAAGTCACAGTCAATCATCAGTGACATTCAGCCAATACAATTGATATTTTATATTATTTAGCAGTTGAATAGCTGGAAGAAGAAAGCTGCTTATTGACAAGGCTGGACAAGTACCATGAGCGACTACTGACATAGCTAACATCGATGGTGCTATAGTCAATACCATTTTGCAACATTGACCTAAACCTCTGAGTCAGTGGAAAAGGTATCTTGGCTGGAGAGAAAAAAAGTGAGTCATCCATATTGTTAAAATTTATGTTTCTTCCTAACATGTCTGAGATCAAAGTTCAATGGCAGAAATAAAAAACTGACCTGCTACAAATCCGGAAAAGAAAAAGTTAACCCAGGCAAAAGTAAGAGTCTGACAAACAAAAGCAATAAAAAATAAATAAAACGGTCAGATCCCAATGCCAAAAATTGAATCAGAAAACAACAAATATTGAAAAAAGGGTGATAAACTACACAAAAAATGCAATACCTGGGGTATGATCATTGAAAGATTTTTCTTCATCATATCCATGGCCATGTTTGGATCAGAAAACATTTGTGCCTGTGCATTCTGAGCCTGGCCCTTGGGGACAAAAAGTAACCCATTTTCCTGCAATGTAACATCAATACATATTTCGATGATATTAGAATAACAGCAGTAAGCTAAAAATGTTTTGTACTACAAGCTATGAAGCACAGACACCACTTTGGAGATCATGTACCGGTGTGTGACATGTGTGGGTCACGCTAGAGGAATCGAGAACATGTTGGGACACACCAGGGACACATTATATCCTTTATTTTATTTTATTTTTTTTCAACGGAGTAGCATACCCCAGGTTGATAAATTTGATGAGAATAATTATTTGACCTAGAATAAACATATGCTATTAAAAAATATGACATAATAAATATATAAAATCATATGTTTTGCAGTGCCCCCCATGCGTTGTGTCCCACATTTTCTAAAAATTTGCGTGTTTTGCATGTCTGTGTTGTGTTTTTATCGTGTCACATGTCTGTGCTTTTTAGGCTACAAGCTAGTCACTAAATGAACTCCCTGACCCTACTTACATATACCACTTCAAACATTAAGCATTTCGACTTTGCTAGGATTTTCAAACTCTAAACTTATGGCATGTTTTGTCATCCCAGGATTGAGTGGCTCAACTGAATTTTACATGGCCTTTTTTTTTTCATCAGCTGAATTTTAAATGGCCTTTGGTGTTACAAATCCATCAACTAGAATGAAGTCAGCAAGAATGGATGGCGAAAAATTGATTTTACGAATTCACAAAGTTGCAGTGCTCACTTTCTCACGAATCTTTGCATCAGTAGCTGATATTCTTCACAAAAACTGTGGCAATTAAATTTCTAGGGACATCCAGATGCATCCCTTGTAACATGCACTATCAAACTAATACTAATAACTAAGAATAAAAAGTTCCATAACTCATATACCTTCCTACAGGGAATAGTGACACATGTAGACTGACATGAAAAACATTGTGAGGGAGAAAATGAGGTCAAGCACAATTTGACAGAATCAGAATGTTGCTGGATGCCACAGCATAGTTCCCTTCACCTCTTTATCTCCCCACACAGCAAAATTTTCAGTGCAGAAAAAGTAGATAAGATAATTCCCTATTGCTAAGGCTAGTAAATAAAGCAACAGGGTAACATTTGGTTCATTTTTTACTAAGAAGCACCGACACATCAAACTAGGTGTTGTAGCCATGTCAGACACGTGTATAGGACACAAACAATGGGGGACATGTATGTGACATGCTATGTGGCGTGATTATTTTTTTGGTTATCATTTTTTTTCAGGGAACACACGGACATGGCAGTGTCTTATTTTAATTTTTTAAAGCTGATTTTGAGGGTCATATTATAATATTTGAAAACATAGGGGTTGAATTTAAAAGAAAAAGAAGTATAGAACTCATATCAAACCATCGATATCTAACCACAAATGTAAAGTTGATAGATTGACTTTTAATGATCCTTGGACCCTAACACAACACAAACATAATCTCTGGATGACTTAAATTTACTTTTTTTTTAAAAGCAAATTAGAGTTAGTTTTCATTAATTTTGATTGTTTATGAATGTAATATTTATATAAACAGAAAATAAAAATATACATACAAAAAAATATTTGATGCATCCCACCATGCATCAAATTTAGCCTTCTACACTATTTGCAATCAGTCGATCAATCTACAACCCCGTTGAATTAGCTTCATAAATAATGATTAAGTAGACATCACGAAACACGTGCATACAACCTATATGCAGTGTCCAGTACTCCACAGAGGATTCTATAGACTACATAGCCTTCGCCCAAAAAGTAGAGTAATAGTTTTAATGGGTTACGTAAATGAAACTTTGGGCATCATAACACCTCTTATTCTCAAAGACTTGATTGAGAGACTCATTGTGAATTCCGATTAATACTAAAAGAGCACATAATTACCACAAGCAGATATATATACATAAATAAAAGCCAGCCCCTCCTCTCTCTTTCTCAGTTTCATAACTTACAACCTCAAACTTGAGTTTTACAGATCACACATGATGATTTCAAAAACTAGCCATTGATGCAGTAACATCACTTTTAACGCAATTTAGATTCAGTGGTTAGTTTCATATATCATTTTATATCCCTTGCAATACTTTCTCTAACAACAAAACCGAGCCCAGTTTCAACATAAATACATCCAATTTGAAATAAAAACCCAATACTAGCCTATCTGACACCACAATCAGTAAGAAAGTGATCAATTTTTGTTTCAGCTACCCATATACAAAATTTATGCAATCGTGATCTACCCACAACTAAAATCGAAAAATTTCCATCAAAGCACATGTTATAAACACAAATTCAATTAATTTTCACTTCAGGCAAAATCAAAATCAATCCTTGTTCAGTGATGAATTCAAATTCCTCAACAAAATTAAAGAACAAAAAATAGATAAATAAATAACCTCATTGCCGAAGTAAGCCTTTCGAGCTCGAAACGACTTAGATGGAATGAAATTCGCGCTGGCCCGTAGATTTCTAGCCCTAATAATAACCTGCCTGAACAATTCATCAACATAAATTACAGATCAAATTCAACAACTTGAACATATAAAGCTATACATGAATATTTATAGAGAGAGAGACCCTTCTTTGACGATTTTGGCATCGGGCAACTGAGAAGAACGCATGAGCTTGGAGACGAAGTAACGAAGGACTCCGATGAGAACCATCACCACCGATAATGGGATCAGCACCCAATCTCTGATCGCTGTATCCAATACCAAATCTGCCGCCATTGAATCACACCTCCAAAACCCCTCTCTCTCTCTTTCTCTCTCTCTCACTTGTTGTTGGGTTGAACGAAAGAGAATAACCTATGGCGCCGTTTGTTTAAGAGATAGAATCAAAGAAAAGAAAAGGGGTTGTTTGGAATGTATTAAATAATTGTATTTTTTGATTTTTTGGATTAAAAAGTTGAGGGAAAAAATATGATTGTTTAGGTTAAATTTTTTACTTTTAATAAAAAAAAATGTGTATTTAAAAATTATATAAATTAGTGTGTAGGAGAAAATTAGGATTGGAAATTGTGCAGCCGTAATTTTTGACTTTTGGTAAATAGTGATAATTTTTTAACTTTTTGAATAACTTTTTAACTTTTTTTCAACTTGCCAAACTTAGCTTAATAGTGAGGTGACTTGTGAAATTATATTTGTTTTTTATAATAGTGTTGGTTAATGTAAGGATTGTTAAATTATTTTTGGGCAAATTACATATACACCACTCGAGGTTTGGCTAAATTACAAATACCCCTGAGGTTTGAGAAATTACGAATTCCCCCCTGAATGCTATATTTGCATAAAAAATTAGGGGGTAATTTGTTATGAAATATAAACCTCAGGGGGCAAATTGTTATGAAAATACAAACCTCAGGGGGCGGGATGTAATTTCCGAAACCTCAGGGGGTATCTGTAATTTAACCAAACCTCGAGGGGTGTATATGTAATTTGCCCATTATTTTTATATAAAACAATCCACCAATAAATCCCAAATTAATAATTTATACACTATTTAGTCCTAAAAATTTTCTTATAGACTGAAAGGTCCCATTACAATGTTTCAAATATCAGATTAATGTTTCGAACATTAGATTTCGAACATCAAATTAATGTTTCGAACATTAGATTTTGAATATCAGATTAATGTTTCAAACATTAGATTGATGTGCAAATGGAACTAAATGGAGCATAAGAAAACTTTTAAGACTAAATGATTCAACTTTTCAGAAGCTAGGACTTATGGGTAAATTTTCCATAATAAAATAAAAATATTAAACATTAATGTTTTAAAAAAAATTGTCTTATATGTAAAAAAATTAAAATAAATAAAAAATTCCTAGAAAAAATAAAATAAAATAAAATAAAGATTTTTACTTAACAAAAAATGTAAAAAAATTAAATATTAATGTTCAAAAAAAATACCCAACATAAAAAAATAAAAATAAAAGATTTTCAGTCCGTCGGACTATTTTTCTAATACAAAGTCTTGAAGACCCATCCGAATTCCCTCCCTAAGGGGATTCATAATGTGGAACTCACTATCAATCCTCTCCCTATCTCTCAAAACAAAAATAATGTTAATAGGTCTCACCCCACTACCAATCTCAATCCCCCCTCTAAGTCTTCAAACAAACGGGGCTTACGTGTCCTCAAACTCTGAGTGAGAGGTGTATTAATTAGGGGTGGGCAACGGTTTATTCGATCCATAAAAACCGCCCAACCCGCATACAAATAGGCGGTTTTGCAAACACAATACAGGCAGATGCGGTTTGAAATATAACATGTTTGCGGGTTGCAGGTTTAACCCGCACCCGCAAAAAACCCGCCCGTACTTCTTTTTTTAAAAAGAAGAAATTAAAATTTTTGTTTATCTTAACTGTCGATTTCATTCTTATATTCCACCTAGATATTTTTGCTCAAAACAAAACATTATTTATTATTTGAACTTACTCTAACATTACATTTGCTAATAGTATTATATCAACTGAAATTGAATAAATACTGATCATATTATTATTGTTACATAATTGAACTTATCCCGGATGAAGTGTGATTTGGAATTTTAAATTCCTTAATGAATATGGAGTTCTAGTTTAGGATTTTAAAATATGTGCTTATGTTAGTTTATGATTTGATTTAAGATTTTGAATGATTTGTTTGTGTTACAAATTGATTTTGTTGTATTTTTAATTTTATAAGTTTTAATTCATTAATTATTAATGTTGGAGCATTTTAGAAAATGAGGAAAAATAGCCCAAAATAAATATTTACAAAATAGGAAGAAAATAAGGCTCAAAAAAAAAAATTGAAGAAAAAAGTCTAATCCACAAAACTGCTACACATTCGAAAACCCTATCCCACAAACCGCAAACCGCACTGCGGGCGCTTGCAAATTGTCTTTTCCCCAAACCGCATAGATGCGGGCGGGTCCAAACCAATCCGCAAACCGCCCAAATCCAAACCGCGAACACCCCTAGTATTAATGTTGGCTACGGTTTTCTCTAGTCTGAAATCGTATGCCTTGATTGCAGACGAATTTATTTTGATGATTAAAATTGTTAAATATGTATATATTGTTGAGTATATTATTATTGAAAAAATTTATATTGATGGCATATTGACAGTCATTTGATTAGTATGCATTTATTTCAATAGTAGTTATGATTTTAAAAATAAATCACAAATTCAAAAATAATTTGATTAAGTGATTATAGTTATTCAATTAAACATGATTTTTTACAAACATAATACATTCAACGGACTCTACATATTAAATAGTTTAAATCATCGAGATGGGTTTGAAGGCCCACCAAGGACCCAATCCAAAAATAGACTAGAAAAACTATACCTATTAAGGTCTTTATGAATTGGATATATTACAAATATTTTTGTTTAAAATACAAATTATTTCACTTTTTAAAATTGTTAATTTTATATTAAGTAACACATTTTATTAATAAATTATCAAGTCAACTAATAATTTTTAATGATAATTTTAATTAATAATTCAAATAATTTTATTATTGCATAAGTTAGTAGTTATGAATTTTATTTAATAAAAATTATTTATAATTTGCGGAGAAAATCTATGTTTGATGTAAGCTTCAATAGGATTATGAATTGTAATTTACCCTTGAAAATTTAGGCAGTGTTTAGGAATAAGTTATTTTAGTTTATTTTTTTTATTTTTTTATTAAAAGAGGTATGAAAAAGTAAAAAAAGCGATATGATTAGATCTTTTGATTTATTGACTATTTTAATTCCAATTCAACTTGCCAAACGGGCCTTAATTCCAACGGGGGAGGGTTGTATAATGATTAGGGGTGTGCGCGGTGCAATTCAAGTGATTTGAGAGTAAAATTATAAATTAAATGGGAGATTGGCGGATTGAAAATTTACGGTTTGGGCGGGTTTGGGCAGATTGACAAATTGAAAAATATTTTAACCAATTATCAAGTATTTACATAATAAATAATACTAATTTGTGTAATATTTTTCATAAATATAACGCAAACTAATTTTACATAATATTTTCCCTATATATATATAACTACTAATTGCTAGCAAATTTCACATCTTAAATCTCTTTCATACTTATTTTTGTTTTGGTATTTCATTAGACATTAAAATATGTATATATTAACTACAGCGGAGCGGCGTAGTTTTGAAGACGGATTATAAAATTTAAAGTTTAATCTGCAATTAGCGGATTGAAAGATACAAATTGATACTGATCGATGTGATTTTAGTAGATTATACAATATTTTGTATAATCTTAATAATGATGTCGTCTATTCTAATGGGTCAACATTTGGGCCAACCCAATTTTAATAAATCTGACTTGGACTGGACCCAAACAAATCATATCACTTGGTGATGAAACGGTAGCGATTGGTAGCTCGAGAGTTTCGGCTCGAAATTGGCTCGAAAAAGTGAGAGAAGGAGGAGGAGGGAGAGGGAGAGGCTGGAGGAGGGCGGAGGAGGAGGAGGAGAAGGGACTAGAGGGGGCCAAACCACATTCACAAATAACAAAATACTATTTGACAAATCAAATCCAATCATATTATAGAAAGTTTGTTTTGAGAGTAAATTAGAACAAAAATCAAAAGTTCAAGTTCAAAGTTCAAAAATAAATAAATAAATAAATAAATTAATTAACAATCAAAGCAAAAGAATCATAAAATTTAAAGAGAAGTGTAATCTAACCAAATAAAAAAGAACAATTTATTAACACCTTTAATAAGCTTCCTCAAAATTTGATTTTCATTACGGAAAATGTGTGGTAGCTCGAAAATACAGTGGCTCAAAAAAAAAAACAGCCCAAAACGACGTCGTTTTGGGCTGTTGAGCCGTTCGAGCCACTGTATTTTCGAGCTACCACACATTTTCCGTAATGAAAATCAAATTTTGAGGAAGCTTATTAAAGGTGTTAATAAATTGTTCTTTTTTATTTGGTTAGATTACACTTCTCTTTAAATTTTATGATTCTTTTGCTTTGATTGTTAATTAATTTATTTATTTATTTATTTATTTTTGAACTTTGAACTTGAACTTTTGATTTTTGTTCTAATTTACTCTCAAAACAAACTTTCTATAATATGATAGGATTTGATTTGTCAAATAGTATTTTGTTATTTGTGAATGTGGTTCCTTGATTTTGATCATTTGATATTTTGCTGCTAAATTTGATTTTGTTATTTATGAATGTGGTTCCTTGAATGTGGTTCCTTAATTCATGATTTTAGTTCTTTCAATCGAGTTATTTAAATGGGTCGTTTTGTGAGACAAATTGGAATTTTTTTTGTCTAAGTTAGGAAATGAATACATTTTGGCACTAATGATGGACATTGGACCTTTTTTTTGATAAAACAATTACACTAAGGTATTAGTTTCCGCCTAAATAACTTCTTAAAATCTGAGGCAAGACAGTTTTCTTTAAAAGTGGGTTTTGATTTGATATTACATTTTTATCCCTTTATGGTAAAGAAAACAAATGTAAGAATAAGTCATCTTGGCATGAGTCATCAGGTTTTCATATATGATAGTATTCTGTATATACATTATATTATATGTTATATATATAATTATCATTTTATTTTATTTTATTTTGTCTTAATTTACTGTCTCTCTCATCTCCTGTATCATATTTCAATTTTCTGCTATATCTTGTATATTTGTACAGGGGTTTGATCTTGAAGCTTTCCACCCTTGTTCCTATTGTATTATACGACCTTTGAAGAAATTAAACAAGAGACTTCGTAAGAAGCTTGAACGCTATTCAAAGAGGGCAATTGCCGAA